CAAAGCTAGGCATTGGCCATTGACATCTTTTGCAGAGTTCATACAGTGCAGTTCGAGGTCCACCTTTTTGCATTTTGACGGTCAAAGCCACTAAAACAAAAACACATAAAATTTGATCGATTAACATAAACCACTATCAGGAATAATAACAATTAACAATTCCAGTGACATAAAACCCACAGTAGACATATTTTCATAATGGGTAATACCCGATTTACCTGTGGGCTGAGAACAGAAACATTATTGGAATTGACTACTTAATCGTGCGGTGTAGGAATCTCAATATTAAAAGCTATTTCAAAACGAAACTTTTGAGATACCTTCAAAACTTGTGATCAATTGATAGCTTCAAACCTTGCAGATGCAGGGGCCGCCTGCGAAGCAGAAGATGGAGACAAACGCGACGACACGCAACAACGTGGAGGCGGTGAGCTGGACCAGAATCCGTAGCACAAAGGCGAACAGTGAGTAGACGAGCCTGACGTCGAGAAACTTCGACTCCTTGTCATTACCACCCGCCTCAGCCTCGCGGCGGCGGCTCTTCCTGCGGGCGCAGAAGACGGCCGCGAGGCTGAGCCGGTGGTAATGACAAGGAGTCGAAGTTGCACGACGTCGGGCTCGTCTACTTGCTGTTCGCCTTTGTGCTCCGGATTCTGCTCCAGCTCACCGCCGCCACGTTGTTTCGTGTCGTCATGTTCGGCTGCTTCGCAGGCGGCCTCTACATCTACCTATCAGTTTGATCACAAGGTTTGAAGGTATCTCAAAAGTTTCGTTTTGAAATAGCTTTTGCTCTCTTTCAATTACCACTTGCATGATCTTTTCTTGGTTTCTATGGTTTGAAAATGAGAGAGAGAGAGAGAGAGGGAGAGAGAGTTGATGACTAATCCAACATCAACCAAACGAAAAGTTACGAAATGCGAGTCCAAGAAACAGAATTCGAGACCCCAACAACCGATACATCACGCCAAAACGCAATTACGAAACCCGCGATCACCTCTTCTTGAGTGAAAAAACCCATGAAAGAGAAAAAAAAGGTTCTTTTCTATCAAGAAAAGAAAGATAGAGAGACCTTCTTGGCTCGAATTCTTCGGGCTCGTGCTTCTGCTTCTTGGCCGTAGCCGGCGACCCTCCGCCGTCGGCCGAGTCGATGGGTCTCTTCGAGGGACTCATGGAAGAAGTCACCGCCGCAGAAGCTATCATCGAGGCGAAAGCAAAGAGAAGAAGAGAGGTTTTGGGCTTGCCGAGTCCTTCTCCAGCAACCAAACGAAATGGGGGCCGAGGGATTGCGCTTTGACTCTCTCTCTCTCTCTCTCTCTCTCTCACACACACACACACACACACACACACACACACAGTCTAGAAGAGCGTTCCCTCTCTGCTCGGCCTCTTACACTCCATTCTCGTTTTCCCTTCCGTCTCCTATTATAGTCACGACAGGGGAGGACCTCCAAAAGAAAGGGTCAATTAATCTACTGTTTTCTTCAGCTCATAGGAAACCTCAACTCTTGCTCCAACTGGCTACACCCGAGGCGGACCCACATGTTGGACGAGTGATCGCTTTCTTAAATCTGTATCCTGCCTCGAAGGATGTAGCTTTGTTTTTCTTATATCTTTTTCACCGCAGTAAATAAAGGTCAAGTTAGATTCCATGTACTTGTAGATTTGGACAATAAGAGGAACCACCTGCGACGATTTCCATAATTTTACATTCGTCATAATTAATTAATTAATTGATTTCCATAAAATCGTCAAACCAAATTCAGTTTCTCAAAGGCTACCATCAATATATGGTTATTTATATCTTCAATAATATTAAACATAAATTATTTTATAGTATTATTTAAATTTCAATTGAAACTCCAGATAAATAAATAAAATAACATTTTAATTTAATTTATAAAAAGAATAAAAAATTATATATTAGTAAGGTGATGGAAGAACCTACGATCCATCCTCTTTGGTCATCACGGTTCATTGAATCTGGAGCACAAAGGTCGTTCCTTTTTCATTATTTTGGTGAATTCCTCTCCTTTTAATATTGTTCATTTGCTATTTAATATTATGAACAAATGAATAATGTTCACTGATATGAAGTATGAACAAGTTTTCATTGATCATCATAGGACCTGTAAGGAAAAAGATCATGGTTGTGACCTGGCGGCAAGATCATCTCTCCGAAAAAATGATAATATAAATGTGACATCAGATCAATCATGACTGATCCACCAGACGCAATGTGTTGGGAGGATGTGGTGGGGCTCTCGTGAAACAGAAGTGCAGTGTTATTCAACGCCTTGCGGTTCTCTCTCTCCCCATACAACGCGTTGGGGAGGGATGTGGCGGGGCTCTTGTGAAACAGAGTGCAGTGTCATACAATGCATTGGGGAGGGATGTGGCGGGGCTCTTGTGAAACAGAGTACAGTGCCATACAATGCAATGGGGAGAGATGTGGTGGGGCTCTCGTGAAACATAGTGCAGTGCCATGCAACGCGATGCATGTGGAGGGGGGGAATCGCAGGGCGTTGCATGGCACTACACTCTATTTCACGAGAGCCTCGCCACATCGTCCCCAACACGTTGCATGGCACTGCACTCTGCTTCACGAGAGCCCCACCACATCCCTCCTCAACGCATTGCATGGCACTACACTTTGTTTCAGGAGAGCCCCGCCACATCCCTCCCCAACGCGTTGCATGGGGAGGGGGGGAACTGCGGGGCATTGCATGGCATTGCACTGTTTCACAGAGCATGGGGAGCCTCGCCAGAACCACCCCCCACCACATTGCAATGCTAATAAATCCCCTGTTCCCCCGACATTGACATTCTGAAACTTCTGTTTCAGAGAGCGTCAACTCCTTTGCGCTCGCCCGGTGTGTTTCAATTTCATAACTTCATCTCGCTTGTCAACCCCCTCCGACATTGACATTCTGAAACTTCTGTTTATAGGCACCTCTGCCCCTCGATGTGTTTCAATTTTATAACTCCATCCCACCGGTTAAATACCACCATCATCACCCCCTCATAGCTTGTCGGAGGGTGCCCCCAAGGGTGATCGACCAGTTGAGCCCAATAGCACATGCTTCCACGAAGCCTTCGAGTTTCAAGACCACTACCGAGAACAAGATCAAGAGTACCTACAGGAGCTTGATGGAGCTTTTGGCTCCGACCACCTTCTACACCGGAATCTTCTACAACATCTCGCCAATGGTCGGAGAGAATCACTACGACTATCGGCTCTATGAGCCCCTCCTTGTCTTCGTCCTCTTAGGGGTGCTGTCAAGTATGGTGGTCGTCTTCTGCGCCCATCACAAGGTTGAGGCGGGTGGTAATGATATGGAGTTAAAGCAACACGATGTTGGGCTCGTTTACTCAGTGGTTACCTTTGTACTTCGGATTCTGCTCCAGCTCATCGTCGCCACATTGCTGCGTGTCGGCGCTTTCGTCTTCATCGGTTGCTTCGCAGGCGACCTCTACATCTACAAGGTTTGAAGCGATCAATTGATCACAAGGTTTGAAGCTATTTCTTTTCCTCTATTTTCTTATGGATTGAGACTAAGAAAACAATGTTAATAAAATAATTATTTTGTATCTTTTTAATTTTTTTCAAGAGTGAATTTGAAAATATGTTTCAAATATGCATTGAGAATCCAATGCATATATCAAATTGAGTGCCCAATGTATATTTCAAATGTAAATTGATGTTTGATAATCTTTTTTTCAAATCGTATTCGGATGCTACAGTCAAAATATTCAAATACTGATTTTATCTTAGGGTAGTATTAGCATTTCAATATTGGCGGTATGTTACTGTAATTTTGAAAATTTTTAAATTTTTTAAAATATGCTATAACAATATCTAAAATTATAAGATTATCAAAATGATTTGATGAGAAATCAATATGAACTATGAAATTTTATTTATTTATTTTAAAGATTATTTTTATATTTATTATTTATTATATATTTAGACCATACAAATTTTTTTATAAGATTACTTTCATTTATTTATTTTATTTATTTATTTAAATAAAAAAAATATATTTTTAAATAAATATTAAAAATATTAGAAGGATAAAATTGTCATAAATTATTCAATGAACTTTTGAAATACGAATTTATCAAGCAACACTTGCATTTTTCATTAATTATTTATCAAATACTCAAAATATTTTTCAATGATGTATTCATTCAATCTTTTTCTTAAATTACACATTAAAAATATAAATATATTTGTAAACGCAGCCTCATTGGTTGCATAAGATTTTTTTTTTAATATATAATTCCGATCCTTCATTTGCTGTCCAAAAATTTACATCCGCATGTCAAAAGTGGGCGTGCATGAAGAAATGGATAAACTCTCTACAGAACAAAAAAGAATTTAAGATTTCATGAGTATAATTTAACCCTCTATGCACAATTACGAGGATAAGAATCTGAATCCATCATAATCATCTAATGCAATATAATATTTGAATGCAAATAATAATATATATGCGTGTGTGTACAAGACAACACCATGGGATTACATGATCCACCAACCAAGGATTTAGATGCTATACGAAGCCTCACCATTAAACATCGCATCGGGGAAGTATACTCAGGGCAAATTACTCTATATATATATATATATACTCTTTCTATCATGCCTATGCTTGTCAACTCGGGGCAAAATACACAATTTTTATTGGTAAAATCTACTCCCTACATGACTAAAAGAGTCATTATATATATATATATACACACACACAAACGCACACACAACACGCACCAAAAATGTTCATGGAATTCTTTCGGCCGGTTGTTGCACCTCAATCTGGCACCTGCCCTGTTTCTCAAGCTCATAAAGCATGGTTAGTGCTGCAGAATCTTGTGAACTATTCTTATCAGGACGCTGGTCCCCCTTGCGTTTGATGATGGTGGAATTTGGTATATGCAGCGTTATGCCTGATACAAACATGTGACGGTTGGCGTCTCCCCCTTCGGTACATTCATTCATCTGGTCGCCACTGTGGTAGTGCAAGAGATGAAGAGGAACAGAAAACACAACTGGGTTAGAACTCTGCAACATGATGTGGAATGCAAGCGCTGGCATTAATCAAGCATGAGTTTCGTAGGTAAAGTTGACCCTCCAAACCTCTGCCAATCGTTACAAATGTCATTTTGGATGTACCGAGAAATAAGGAAGTTATATAGAACAGTGACATTAAAATTTCCTATGTTTACAATCTACTAGATACCGAGAAATGTGGTTTTTGTTGTTCATGGTCCTTAGCAGGATAAGCTGATTGATCCTAGGATGAAATTATCTCATGCAATTTGTATGGCATTAGAGTAGCTTATGTGTCATAATCACAAAACAAATCAAGATCAGATGGCCTGCCATCCTTTCATACTTGTACATGTTAAAATCCAGGTCTTATATAAATAAATACTAACAATCATTTTTACTAGGGAAGAAATTTGGTTGGGCTAACCTTGGCTTCCACTCTAATGTTTCAAAGCTAGGCATTGGCCATTGACATCTTTTGCAGAGTTCATACAGTGCAGTTCGAGGCCCACCTTTTTGCATTTTGACTGTCAAAGCCACTAAAAGAAAAACATAAAAGTTGATCGATTAACATAAACCACTGTCAGGAATAATAACAATTAACAAGTCCAGTGACATAAAACCCACAGTAGACATATTTACATAATGGGTAATACCTGGTTTACCTGGGCTGGGAACAGAAACATTCTTGGAATTGACTACTTCACCA